GTGCGTGTGTGCGTGTGTGCGTGTGTGCGTGTGTGCGTGTGTGCGTGTGTGCGTGTGTGCGTGTGTGCGTGTGTGCGTGTGTGTGTGTGTGTGTGTGTGTGTGTGTGTGTGTGTGTGTGTGTGTGTGTGTGTGTGTGTGTGTGTGTGTGTGTGTGTGTGTGTGTGTGTGTGTGTGTGTGTGTGTGTGTGTGTGTGTGTGTGTGTGTGTGTGTGTGTGTGTGTGTGTGTGTGTGTGTGTGTGTGTGTGTGTGTGTGTGTGTGTGTGTGTGTGTGTGTGTGTGTGTGTGTGTGTGTGTGTGTGTGTGTGTGTGTGTGTGTGTGTGTGTGTGTGTGTGTGTGTGTGTGTGTGTGTGTGTGTGTGTGTGTGTGTGTGTGTGTGTGTGTGTGTGTGTGTGTGTGTGTGTGTGTGTGTGTGTGTGTGTGTGTGTGTGTGTGTGTGTGTGTGTGTGTGTGTGTGTGTGTGTGTGTGTGTGTGTGTGTGTGTGTGTGTGTGTGTGTGTGTGTGTGTGTGTGTGTGTGTGTGTGTGTGTGTGTGTGTGTGTGTGTGTGTGTGTGTGTGTGTGTGTGTGTGTGTGTGTGTGTGTGTGTGTGTGTGTGTGTGTGTGTGTGTGTGTGTGTGTGTGTGTGTGTGTGTGTGTGTGTGTGTGTGTGTGTGTGTGTGTGTGTGTGTGTGTGTGTGTGTGTGTGTGTGTGTGTGTGTGTGTGTGTGTGTGTGTGTGTGTGTGTGTGTGTGTGTGTGTGTGTGTGTGTGTGTGTGTGTGTGTGTGTGTGTGTGTGTGTGTGTGTGTGTGTGTGTGTGTGTGTGTGTGTGTGTGTGTGTGTGTGTGTGTGTGTGTGTGTGTGTGTGTGTGTGTGTGTGTGTGTGTGTGTGTGTGTGTGTGTGTGTGTGTGTGTGTGTGTGTGTGTGTGTGTGTGTGTGTGTGTGTGTGTGTGTGTGTGTGTGTGTGTGTGTGTGTGTGTGTGTGTGTGTGTGTGTGTGTGTGTGTGTGTGTGTGTGTGTGTGTGTGTGTGTGTGTGTGTGTGTGTGTGTGTGTCTATTCTACACATCACCATGTGGATATAGGCTATGTGCCAGGGTCACCCAGGGTGTATCTGGAAGGTGATGGCATAGGCAAGGAAAGCATGTATCAGCGTTTTCTTTGTGCTCTTGAGAGATGAATAATATGATGCCCTGTTGCCCTGGCCGATTCAACTTTGCGTCACCATGATGTAGATAGACCAGAGTACTATTATTGTCAAGTGTATTATTATTATTAATTCAACATCTCCTGGCTCGTCAGAAGACTGCCAATATATGTGAGAAGTCGGGTGGTAGCCAACCACGGCGAACTGAATAATAAGGAGAGAAACAAAGAGAGTACTGCAAGGGGAGGCATGACGAAAATGGTGAGATTATTTAGGACGAAGAAGCTGAAGCTTGAACTCCTTAATGTCTGTGCATGCTTTAAGGCTAGTTGGCAGGGAAGACCAGAGAGTGTACGCAGAGAAGATAGGAGATTTCAGAAACAGGGAGGTATTAGCACGGGGTAATGAGAAGGAATAGTGGGATGGTCTAAGACCATGATTGAGAAACAGAGGGTACCAGGTTCAAGTCCTGCTTGGAAGCGGAAGGAATTTTTCCAGCCGTGCTGCGACCCACAGTTAATTGGGAACTCGTGGCCTGGCACGAGGGTAACATGGATGCAGCTAATGGGACTTCGGTCTTTGACCACTTGGTGGTGGGTCTGATCTACTCACCTCCCACCATTTAGGCGCTGCATCTGCGCCTTTGATCCTAGAGGGTGGTGGCGTTCCCACGGCGGATGCAGAAAACTCGGCTTCCAGCCGAGTCTCACGCGAACCGTGAAATTTAAATTTATTTTTAATGAGAAGGAATGACGTGTTGATCTGGTGGACACAAACCAGTTATACTTAGTAAAGTGTTTTGGAGCCAGGTCTAATAAGATCATGTGTACAAGGATGCAAAGATGTTGCTGGTGTCGCTCTAAGAGGGGAGATACTGAAGCTAAACTGTAGAGACGTTGGGAGGAGAATGTTTGATTTTTGCGAAACAGGATTTTTAGAAGCAGACGCTGGTGTATTTCCAGAGTTTGAACAAGGGCCTGAGACAGACCACACCACGCTGTGTCACAGTAATCAAATATAGGTAGAATATACGACGTAAAGAACAATTTTCGGCAATGGTCATTTAAATGGTGGCAGTGAGGTTGCAACATGCCAAGGGAGGAGCTAGCTC